TCCACACACACACACACACACACACACACACACACACACACACACACACACACCATAAAAACAGTGTGAGGGATGTTATTGGCTCCGTACAGGTAGTGGATTGCGAGATCCTGGGCCAACTTTAATGTTAAAACTCTCTCTCTCTCTCTCTCTCTCTTTTTTCTCTCTCTCGTTATGTTTTGATGTGTACGCCTCCACCTTATGTGTACACCTCCTCTCACTATATGCCTCCACCTACTGTGTACCTGTAGGGAGCTGAGGTGTGTGTGTGTGTGGGAAACATCATACGCCCGCCAGCAGTGGGGAGGGCGGGGTTGGGGGTATTCCTCAGCGTTGCCGGGGGTCCCTTCTCAAAGTGTCGTACTGCACTGAGAGGAGAGTGTTCTTACGTGTAACAAGGGGGCGGCGTTTGCTTCTATGATAATAATAATAATAATAATAATAATAATAATAATAATAATAATAATGATGATGATGATGATGATGCTAATAGTAAAGATAATGATGGAAATTTTATTATTATTATTATTATTATTTGTAGTGGTAGTAGTATAGGTAGTGGTAGTAATAGTCGTAGTAGTAGTAGTAATAATAGTAGTAGTAGTAGTAGTAGTAGTAGTAGTAATTAAATCAACATTACCCATCGTAATTATGCTAATACTAATCTTAAATCACTTTCATATCAATTAAATTTTTATATCTATATTAATTACTACCTTATTATATTTTACCTTAGAGATAAATTACCTTACATATTATTTCTTGTTTATGTAATTATTAACTGTGATGTGTCTTTATATTGTCTTGTTGTTGTTTTTGTTTCTTTATGCATTGTTTACATTATTTATTCCTATTGTTCTATCTCCTGTTTTATTACGTGTGTGTGTGTGTGTGTGTGTGTGTGTGTGTGTGTGTGTGTGTGTTGGTGTGTGTGTGTGTGTGTGTGTGTGTTGGTGTGTGTGTGTGTGTGTTGGTGTTTGGTTGAGTTAGTCCTGTTTTGTATCTCATTTTCTTTCATGATTTTCGTTCGCCTTCGTGTATAAACCATCTTCTCTTATTCCTGTTTCTCCTTTTCTCTCCCTCTCCTCTCCTTTTCTCTTTCTATTTTTGTCTCTTTCGTTTTCTCTTTTCCATGTTATCTATTTTTTTATTCCTATTAGTATTTTTTTCATTCGCTTTCTCTTTTTCATTTATCTCTCACTTACTCTTTTCTCTTTCTCTCACTCTCTTTTTTTGTCTCGCTCACTTTATTTCTTTGATCTTACTCTCATATTTCTCTCCCGCTCTCTCAATCCCTCTCTTTTTATTTCTCTCTCTCTCTCTCTCTCTCTCTCTCTCTCTCTCTCTCTCTCTCTCTCTCTCTCTCTCTCGTGTTGTCTGGTGGTGAACAAAGAGTTGAGGCGACGAGGTGGCTGCTAGGTTAGGTTCCCTCCCCTTTATCCTACCACCACTATCACCACTACCACCACTATCACCACTATCACCACTATCACCACCACCACTATCACCATTACCACCACCACTATCACCATTACCACCACCACCATCACCACCATTACCACCACCTACTGCCATATGGGTGATTTTAATATGAATACTTGGATAAGATCAGTATCCCAAGACGTGTGTGTGAGAGAGAGAGGAGTGTGTGTGTGCGTGTGTGAGAAGAGTGAATGGTTAGGATATAACACCAGGGATTGGAATAGTGCCAGAGAGTGCCACTGTGTAAGAGAGTGCCTCCTACGCCTGGCAGTGCGTCTTCGGTGTCAGTATGGTTCCCGGCAGAAACGCTTTACAAATTACATAAAGTGAAATAAATTTGTGTTTTTAATAGTCTGTAGTACGGGTATCGTGTGTGTGTTTGTATTAGAGACAGTATTAGTGTTTGTTTTAATGGGAGGTTGTGTTTATGTTTGTTTTGTTGGTGAAATGGTGAGGGTTCGGTGACAGTATGTGACGGTCGGTAGAAATTTTTAAAAGGTTGAGCGGCTAGTGATCATATGTGTGTGTGTGTGTGTGTGTGTGTGTGTGTGTGTGTGTGTGTGTGTGTTTCTTGTATGACGTGATGTAACTCTCACCTACTCTCTCTCTCACCTCTCTCTCTCTCTCTCTCTCTCTCTTTTATTTCCTATCTTCTCTTCTCTCCTTCCCTTTCTTATCTCAGAACAGGGGAAGGAGGGACTGAAATAAAAACCAAAAGATCAAAGGAATCATCTGCGTAATAGAGAAAAACGGGGGTTCTGTGTGTGTGTGTGTGTGTGTGTGTGTGTGTGTGTGTGTGTGTGTGTGTGTGTGTGCTCTCTACATACTTTTATACTCTCACAAACCAACAAACTCCCAAATCCTCCATATCCTTTTAGTGGTTTGTGCAAGTTTGTGGTAAATGTCATTGACTTGTGTGACATTGTCTTTCCAGTGGGTGAATGTTGTTATGTTTGGAGAGGAGAGAGGGGGTGGGGGTGGTGTAGGTGTTGTCTTGTGTGAGATATTGTATAGTGTGTTGTTATTATAGTTATTATTAATTGGTTTAAGTTATCGTACTCAAGGGGTCAAGTGCTCAAGCAGGATAACTCTTAGGACACCTCCCATCACATTTCACTAACCACTTCTGTTTCTCTCTCTCTCTCTCTCTCTCTCTCTCTCTCTCTCTCTCTGTTCTCTCTCTCTCTCTCTCTCTCTCTCTCTCTCTCTCTCATAAAAGTGTTACAGAAAAATACACACACACACACACTGCTTCACCCCCCACCTCTCCCCCCACCCTAGTAAAATTCATACACTGCTTTATGTATACTCTTGGATAATGCGGGAAGGATGGATATACAACATTAACGTTATCCTTAGTTATTAATTGGTTAAAGTTATCCATAAATGAGGTTAATAACTTAGCCCTTGTATTAATAACATCTCACGTGTTCTCCCTCAATGTATGTATGTATGGTATGTATGTATGTATGTATGTACAGTATGTATGTATGTATGTATGTATGTATGTATGTATGTATACTTTTTGAGGCTAGTGTGTATATATTTGTTTTCATTGCATTTAGGGATTTTTTAACATGTAATTAAATAGATCTTCACTACAGATGCGAGAATTAACTTAACGACATAAAGACACATTAACTCTCTTACGCTATATATATTTTTTAACCCACAGCTGTAGACTAAAATACACCTCTGCCTGACCTACGTGACCTACCTGACCTACGTGACCTACCTAACCTTCCTGACTTATCTGACCTACTTGACCTACCTGACGGGAAAAATTAGTAGGTTCGTAGTTATATGTGAGGTTAAAAAATTTAGGTTCGTAGTTATATTTTTCGAGACAAATTTCTAGTAAATGTTGCTTTGAAAAACAGATTGCTGACGTGTTTACATGTGTACTGAAGTGAAAGACGTGCGTATTTTATTATGTACGTGCGTTGAGGTGTGTACACAGACAAATACTCTCATGAATAACAAATATCACTGTATTAGATTTTTCCCTGGGTCTGACGTCACAAAGAATAGTAAATTTTATTTTTATTTTGATGGTTAGAAAATGCATCAGTTTGAGGGTCGAGTCTTGGTATTGTTACGCCGCCATTTTGGAAGAGTTTTTTGTTAGGTTAGGATTTGTTGGGTTAGGTTAGGTGGCTATGTTGGGTTTCCTTGGTTGAATTAACTTAGTATTTATAATTATCTTTATACCTGTACTGTCTAAAATTCTCACCAAACAAATAATTCTAAAAGTAATTGAAAATGGAAGTGTGGTGACCGTAGACTATAGAACCAAGTCATATTACAAGTATTACACACAAACAAACAAGCATCTTTAGCATTATGTGTTGAGTAATGTGACGCAACGGAGGAAAGCTTTTTGATAACCTGACCGAGATAACAGGAGTCGGACAAAGATTTCCCGCGCCCATGCAATTCGCTTCTTCCCGCGCCCACCGACCGACGAATCTGTTTCCCTCCTTGAATTCCCGCCCGCGCACTTGAATTCCCGCCCGCGCACTTGAAATCCTGCCCGCGCACTTGAAATTCACAGTTGGTCAATTTATTTCAGTTGTATGATGGGCTTGGGCGATATATATTGTGTTTGTGTGTTGGTAATTTGTCTTAAAAGGAAATTGAAACGTAAGAGAATTGTGTTCATCCATTTACAAGGCAATGTGGGGGGGGGATAACAAGCATCTCTCTCCCCGTAAGGTAAGGCAAAAAAAAATATGTTCTTTTTATTGTAGTGTAAAATATTTAATATACTTTTCCCTTATAACAGTGACTACATCTTCATAAAAACACACGGATAAAAATATAATCAGTGAAGGAAGATTATTTTTAATTAATGGAAAGAAATAATATGTAATTTGAAATAAGTCGTTGCATTATTATAAACTTGGAACACAAGAAAGAAATCAACTTAATTTTAACATACATATTACAATACAGCTCATAAGGCCGATAGTGGCCTGACTTGGCACAACAGGCGAACTGGGAAGGCGTGAGGGTGGGGTGTGGACAGTAAATGACGGGGGTGGAGTAGGTGATAAATGTGGAGTTATTACACTAAGGGGAAAATAAAGCTTTTTTTTTTAAACTAGTGGAGTAGAGGTTGGAGTATTGATAATGCGTGGTAACACTTTTAAGAATTTTATCTTGGCCTCAAATTTCTGGTTAAGGACAACTTTTTGAAAGACAGTTCAAGAGACAATAAAGAATAAGTTGTCTTCATCCATTACCTCCTCCTCCTCCTCCTCCTCCTCCTCCTCCTCCTCCTCCTCCTCCTCCTCCTCCTCCTCCTCCTCCCACCTCCTCCCCCCACCTCCCTCCTCCTCCTCCCCTCCTCCTCCTCCTCCCCCCTCCCTCCTCCTCCCCCCTCCTCCTCCTCCTCCCCCACCTCCTCCTTATTATGCTTGAGTTGATTTAATAATGGTTCTTCTTGGGCCCAATCCTGCTGGTGCTGATATGCTGGCTAGTAGAGGAATCTTCTTCGTCTGTAGCAACATGGTTCGTTTCTCCCGCCGTTTTTTTTTAGATCTTCAACGTTACTTATCGTTTTTTCCTGTTTTCTACGGTCGACAGGAACAACAGCTGGTCGTAATAGATGAAGTGGCTTCGTTTCTTTGTTGCTTGTCCTGCCATGACTTTTCTTTGTCGATTTAATTCTCTCTTGAAACACGTCTCCAGCTCACCTATTGTGGATGTCCATACCTACGGAGACATAAAACATAACTATTACTAAATACAACCTATTAAATCCTTAAATTAATCTCCCTAACTACACATCTCAGACACATTCTTTATATTCTACTAGACATTAACACATCTCTGCAAGGATCTGTACCCAGGTAGTATAATGAGATATAAGCCTAACAGAAGCGTTATTAAGGCATCATTGGGTACCTGTAGTGTAGTATTTTATCTATGCCTTTGTTAATAATACTTGTAATTATTTGATATGATTAATTAAAAGTTAATTATCAATACACATGTAATTTGACTTACCTGCACACGCTCGTTCTCCAAATCCTAAATGAGTCAAATTATGGAGCATCACCTCATACACTGTCTTCTGTTCCCATCTTTATCCCCGTACTCTTTCAGTAACTTGTCATATAAAGCTGGTCTATTTTTTACCGCACGAATTAACTTTTCAAACCGATCTTCAGCCGTAACTAATTCCATTTTCTAACCAAAACAAACACACAAACACTATCGAGGTACAAACGATGGAGAGCTTTGCCCTTACTGTAGCTGGCAGTAGCCACACGTTGGTATGTATACAAGTGGGTTGGCCGACTATTCCATTGCGCTCAAGTTGTACCATGGGACAAACTTTTCCTCCGTCGTCCGTCTATTGATTTGTATGTGCGCGCGTTCCTATTCGGGTTAATGGTTCTCACTTATGGAATTTAAACTGTTGGCCGATTAACCTAACCTAACTTAACCTATTATTGGAAGGTTTTTTAATGTTTCGGTTTATTTTGGTGTGTGTGTGTGTGTGTGTGTGTGTGTGTGTGTGTGTGTGTTGTGATGGATTTATATGGTGTGTGTCTTAATTTTTTACAATAATGTGTTTGAGGATTAACACACACACACATACACACTGGCTGACAGGTGTGAGTCTCAGGTGAATCGTCTTACACCTCACACCTACACCTGATGACCCTCCCCCTCACCACCACACAGAGAGAGAGAGAGAGAGAGAGAGAGAGAGTCACAAATATGTAAAGAGGGAGAGAGAAGTGAAATTGTAAGTGCAAAAGAGAGAAAGACAGAGAGAGAGATACAGGGGAGTGGAGTATTGAGATAACGACTTTAACTAGGTAAGGAGAAGATGAATGGTGGGGAGGAGGAGAGAGACGAGATAAAGAAGAGGGGAATGAGAACAGCAGTAGAGCGAGTCAAGAGAAGGTGGAGAGAGAGAGAGAGAGAGAGAGAAATCAGTTAAAGAATAAACAAGAAATCGACATGTGTGTTCTGTTAAGGAAATCTGTTGAATAAATCGGTAGGTGTGTTAACGAAATCTGTTGAATAAATCGGTCAGTGTGTTAACGAAATCTGTTGAATAAATCGGTAAGTCTGTGTTCTTTAGTCACCGTTTTCGTTTCAACAGCGACACATAATTTTCGGTTCGATGCAGCTGTGAGATTAACCCAGCCAGTGAACTTGTTCCAGCAGTTAATAGCTTCGTTCCAGCAGTTAATAGCTTCGTTCCAGCAGTTAATAACTTCATTCCAGCAGTTAATAGCTTCGTTCCAGCGGTTAATAGCTTCGTTCCAGCAGTTAATAGCTTCTTTCCAGCAGTTAATAGCTTCGTTCCAGCAGTCCAAAGCCTCAGGGGTGTACAGGGACTATTGGTCATGACTGTACATATGGATAACTCCAGTAGTGCCTCAAATACCCAACCTAACCCTAACCTAAACCTAACCCAACCTAAACCTAACCCTAACCTAAACCTAACCTAAACCTAACCCTAACCTAAACCTAACCCAACCTAAACCTAACCTAAACCTAACCTAAACCCAACCTAACCTAAACCTAACCTAACCTAACCCGTAGAGCAATTTATAAAGGGTGGGGCGAGAGATGACTGACACACAACAGTCTCGGTATTAACACGTTGTATTTCCACTGTATACATCTTTTTTTACTTATGTATATTTTGTATGATGTATGTTGTGTATGATGTATGATGTTTCTTATGTATAATGTATATATTCTCATTTTCAGTTGGGTGGAGTGGTGAAGGTGGTAGAGGACCAGGGGATCGAACCAGCGACCATTAGGACAGGAGATGAGCAGGTAAACCACTCAGCCACGGCACACCTGTTGATAAGTAACGGTAGGTGGCGACTGATCCTTGTGTACAGTGTTACCTTAGTGTAATGTACGTGTGGCAGTGATGGTGAGTGGTGGCGATAGTGATGGTGGTAGTGATGGTGATAGTAGTGGTGGCTGTGGTGGTGATAGTGATGAGTGGTGATGGTGACTGTGATGGTGGCTGTGGTGGTGATAGTGATGAGTGGTGGTGACTGTGTGAATGTGGGGGTGAGAGTGAGAGTGTATGAGTGATGAACATAACATTGAGGGGTGAAGAGCGTGACATATGAGGACGGGGCAGCAAGACGCCCACACCCGCCCCGCCCCGCCCCACCCCGCCCCGCCCCCTGTGTGGCGACGGCGGGTTGGGATAATATGTCCTTAAATGCTGTTGCGTTTCCCCCCAAAAGAGAGGATGAGGACGGCAGCTGGTGATCCCCGGCAACAGGCAAAGTCGTCCTTGTGAGCCTGGCGGGGAGGAGCCGCCGCCCCCCGCCCGCCCCGCCACTGAGGGCCAGGCCAGGGGCGCCGCCGATGTCCCTGACGGGTGGCGGGGGTGCGAAGGACTGAGGATTTCTTTCCTGGTCATGCTAATAGGCCGCGAATTGAGCTGCGAGTGGAAGGAGGAGAGTTTACGGGAGTTAATGTTGGCGTCTGAATCCCGGAGGTGATCAATAAGTTGGTTGGTTTGTTGCACAGTTCTTATGCGCCGATTGAGAAGATGGAATCACCGGGCAGATCAATGTTACCATGGAAACGCCTGATCAATAGCCGGGTGGCCCGAAGGGCGTATGCGACGCGACCCCGAGTTACACGACGGATCTTCCGGCAGAGGTGGCGAAGGGCGAGAAGGAACGGTTCCCAGGGTACTTGACGGCAGTGCTCCGCCTGGCAAAGTGGTGTTTGGCAGTGGTTGTGACACAGACGGCTGGCACGCGGGGGGCAGTGCCAGGAGAGGCCACAATTGTAGGTCGCAGAGAGGCGGTTGTGGGTGGTGCGTGGCGTGAGTGATGCGCCCCTCGTGTAGGTGGCGGCGCCGGGAGTGAGTGTAACTATTAGTAGTGTGGTTCTCGCCAGCACCACACTCCCGTGCCCGCCCTCACCGCGACCACTACGACCTCCGAGCTCCTGTACCACTGACACAGCCAACACAAACTCTAATAAATATCCCTCTATGCCAGCCCCCAGGAGGTAGCGGCCGGCCCCAAACCCGACAACATTAATCTCTGAACCCAAACCATAATTCACTTGATGGAAAATATCGAGTTGACTCTCTAGCTTGGACTTAGTCTCTGAGTTTCCCCGGATGAACTCTGACTAACCTGAGGCAGCCGTGTGTGACACAGCCTGGGCCGTGACGTTGCTCTGCCCCGCCAGGTCAGGTTGGGTCCTGCCACCAACAGTTCGGGCAGCCTCACGTCTAGGTTCCTGGTGTCACACACAGCCTCCGTGTAGGAGCGCACGTGTCTCTATCCCTCCCTCAGTAGCCTCCACGTCCCGTCGTGGTTCGGTTGTGTCCCATCACTGCTCCTGTGTTGACCTCCGCCCTCCCCCTAAACGGCACTTCCTGCCCTCACACTCTTCTCCGGGTTACTCTCAGTGTGTACACGTGTCCCCCAAGTACTGAAGCTTAACCCGAGTTACACCAGCCCGATCTGAGAGCTGGACCACGTCTTCAGCCCACGCCTCCCCCAGGAGGTGCGTGGTGCTGCCCTCCGTCAGTAGTGAGCCCATGTGGGTGTAGGGCGTCATGGAGGTAGCAAGGATACCTGCTGCTGTGTTCACCTCACCTACAGGTAGCCACCACCGTCGCCACAACTTAACAGCTTAAAGGTAAGTCTCGCTACCTGTTGTTGTAGTCAGTGTTATACTGACAGGTGTTTATTATGAATCTCTCAGTGTAGACCCGTTATGGTTCGTGGGGCGGCGGCCGGTGTGTGTTAACATATGCATCACGCAGCCCGCTGTGTGGCAGTGTCAAGCAGTGAGAATATCTAGCGAAGGTCGGCTCGTAGTAATAGTGTTGTGTTGTGTTCGTCACGCATCACAACTGTTAAGTGGTCGATGCTTGTGCGCCTTACAGTGTTATAGTGTACGTACAGTACTTGGTGTTTGTTAAGACCATTGAGACACAAACTATCCAGGGAAATTTGATCTTTTGCATCGACGATAATTATATTCTTCCCCTTCCTTTAAAAACGACATTCATTTGTTTGGTTTATTTACCGAGTTATTTATGTATTTATTCATTTATTCACTTAAGTATTTATTTATTCATTTATTTATCTATTTCTTTGTATGTTCTTGTCTTCAGTTTGCTCTTTAAGTAAATTGTTAAAGCGTTATTGAGCGTATGAGTGTTAGTCCAAATGTCTCAAGCGGTTATAAAACAGTGTCTTGGCCCGTACCGGAATTATCTCACTCAACCAGAATTTTCTCACTTATACCGGATTTTCTCTCACTTATACCGGAATTATCTCACTCAACCAGAATTTTCTCACGTATACCGGATTTTCTCTCACTTATACCGGATTTTCTCTCACTCATACCGGATTTTCTCTCACTTATACCAGAATTTCACTCATACCAGAAGTTCTACCTTATAGTAATTTTACACTGGAACAAAAACAAAGAAACAAACATTAGCGAAAAACAAAGACATTCATGTTTGACTTCCACGACACACTTACGAAGGATGTGATAGACTTAAGACACACTTGACGCCTATGAGACAAACATTTAAAGAGTTAAGTTTTATGTATTTTTGTTCATGTGTTTGTTTAAGTGTGTTTGTGTAAGTGTATCTATGTCTATATGTGTGTGTATGTATGTGTAAGTTTATGTGTAGGTGTATGGATGTGTCTGTGTGTGTGTGTAAGTGTATGCATATGTCTACGTATGTGTGAGTGTATGTATGTGTCTGTAAGTGTATGTGTGTGTTTCTATGTTTGTGTATGTGTGTTTAACAGGGGACACAAACACACAACACAGACAAAATAAGAAAGATAATTTGACACTAAAACAACTGCGATTTTTTTTATTGATTTTTTAAAGTCAATATAACTTCCTATTTCTCCGATATAATTCCTTTAACTTTTTTAACTAAGTCTTAAAATACAATAAGAATGAAATTTACACACACACTGATATACACTCATACTAATACAGTACTAAATTTATTCTAAACTACTTCATCAAGACGGTGTATATTTTAAATTTATTTGTTTGTTTACTCGAAAAAAACAAGGATTTTTTTTTGTTCGTAAATGATATACTATATACAAGTTGATGGGTAGTACATAATATGACCCTGAAATACACGTATACGGTCTTGATAATGTGGGGAGGTCAGGTTACGTTGAGATTGGGTTAGTGTTATGTTAGGTTTGGTTAGGTTATGTTTTGATGGTGATGGTTTAACCCTTTGATGAGGTTTTAACCCTTTGATGGTGAGGTTTAACTTTTTGATGATGGTTTAACCCTTTGAGGATAATGGTTTCTAACCTTGTGGTGTTGGTTTAACCCTTTAATGACTATTTAAATCTTTGAGTATTTAACCCTTTAAAGTTTGGAGTTTAACCCTTTGATAGGAATGGTTTAACCCTTTGATGGTAGTGGTTTGACCCTCACAGTGTTAAACCATCATCCTCAAAGGGTTAAACCGCCACTTCTAAGGGTTGAGTTAAACCGTCATATTGATCACTAATTCAATCTTTTTTTTAATAATTTATAATATTTTCTATTTTTTTTCCAATTACTTTCTAGTTATATTTTATTAGTTACTGTTTCTTGTCTCGTTTTACTATTTTTCCTAGTTTAGTTTCTGTAATTTTCGAGTATTTCTATTATTTTTTAGTTATTTACATTATCTTCTAGTTATTTACAGCATTTTTTATTTATAGTATTTTCTAGTTATTTACATTATTTTCTAGTTATTTACAATATTTTCTAGTTATTTACATTATTTTCTAGTTATTTACAATATTTTCCAGTTATTTACAATATTTTCTAGTTATTTACAAATTTTCTAGTATTTACAATATTTCTAGTTATTTACAATATTTTCTAGTATTTACTATATTTCCGAGTTATTTCACAATATTTTCGAGTATTTACAATATTTTCCAGTTATTTACAATATTTCTCGAGTTATTTACAATATTTCTTCCATTTATATTTACAATATTTCAGTTATTTACATTATTTTCAGTTATTTACAGCATTTTTTATTTACAGTATCTTCCAGTTATTTACACCATTTCCAGTCATTCACAACATCATCCAGTTATTTACATTATTTCCAGCCATCTACAACATCTTAGCCACTTCAACATTTCCAGCCATTCACAACATTTCCAGCACTACAACACTCCAGCTCACAACATCTCCAGCACTACAACACTTCAGTTATTTCACAACATCTCCTGAGTTATTCACAATATTCCAGCTATTTCCACAACATTCTGAGCCATTTACAACATCCATTTACTTCAACATTTTCCAGTCATTTACACTATTTCCAGTCATTTCACAACACTTTCCACAACACCAGCCATTTACAATATTTTCTAGTTATTTACATTATTTTCCAGTTATTTACAATATTTTCGAGTTATTTACAATATTTTCCAGTTATTTACAATATTTTCCAGTTATTTACGTTATTTTCGAGTTATTTACAATATTTTCGAGTTATTTACAATATTTTCCAGTTATTTACAATATTTTCTAGTTATTTACATTATTTTCCAGTTATTTACAATATTTTCGAGTTATTTACAATATTTTCCAGTTATTTACAATATTTTCCAGTTATTTACGTTATTTTCGAGTTATTTACAATATTTTCGAGTTATTTACAATATTTTCGAGTTATTTACAATATTTTTTAGTTATTTACATTATTTTCTAGTTATTTACAATATTTTCTAGTTATTTACAATATTTTCTAGTTATTTACAATATTTTCTAGTTATTTACATTATTTTCCAGTTATTTACAATATTTTCTAGTTATTTACATTATTATCTAGTTATTTACAATATTTTCTAGTTATTTACATTATTATCTAGTTATTTACAATATTTTTCTAGTTATTTATTTACATTATTTTTAATTTTTTGTATACTAATTAATTATTTTTATAGTTAAGGAAGAAATACTGTATGTTGAAATTTTTGCATTAGATT